GATGCTACATTTACTTCCACGGAGGGAAGCAGAAATCAAGGTGTTAATAAAGGAAGACTCTATATATAAGTCCCTACTGTTCAGTATGGGTGTTCATTTTTGATTGCTGCATTTGTGTATTGCTTGTGTGGAAAAAGTAAACAAAACTAATATTATTTTGTAGTGTTCAGACAGATGCACTGATGTTTAAAGGAGACTTCTCTACTCTCCTTCCATCAGAGCACCAACCTCTGAGTTCCAATTTTGGATTATGCTTTGGGGCATGAGGGTTAGACTGTCAACCCTTGGGGCATGAGGGTTGGACTATCAGACATTGTGCAAAGATGTCAAGAAGAGACAAGCTGCTGAGAGTCTGTTCAATCTACAACAGGCTGAGACATGCTATGTTCTTTTAAGTAAAAAGCAATTGATCTTCTCATGTTATGTGACAGGTAGTTGAGATTGCTACATTTGTTTAAGGATACCTATAAAAGTGCAGTCTAGAGTGAAGAGGATAGATCAAATATTTAAATAGGAACCTAATAAAATCCCATGGGACCAATCAACAGATGCAGGGCTGGACTAAGGCAGGATAACTGGGCATAGACAGAGGAGCAGAGATTAAGAGGTGGTTTGGAAGAAATAATGGGTAGGGCTCAGAAACTGGAGGTGGGTCATAAGCAATCAGGAGGAATCAGGATGACACACATTTCTGGCTTCAGGTACTAGTGACACACATTTCTGGCTATCGGTGTTATTAGTTAAGCTAAGGACTAACACAGGGAAACACGTGATGGAGAGAAAGTAGTAGTTTTTGAGGTGCATGTGGGTTACTGCGGTGACCTCCTAACTGGTCGGCCTGTTTCTATCCTTGCACTTCTATCTCTATGTTCATCATATCTCAATAATCCATCAGAATTCTTCTTATAAAGCATGAGTTGAGCCACGTCTGTCCTCTGTTCAGAACCCTTCAGTGGCTCCCCATCTCACTCAGTTAAGAGCAAGTCTTTACAACGACTTCCTAGTACCTGTGGGAACTGGCTCCGTTACCCCTCTGCCTTCACTGCCCAGGACCTCCCCTCACCCACTCTCCTCCCTGCACAGCTTTCTTGGTGTTGCTCAGGCACATGCCCACCCCAGGGCCTTTGCACTTGTAGTTCCTCCTGTCTGAGAAGCTCTCCTTCCGGGTATCTTCATGGCTCACTCCCTCAGCTTTTACCAAACAGTCACCTTCTCTGTGAGTTCCTCTCTGGTCATTTCATTTAAAATTTCACCCTCTTCACAAGCCCAGCATTTTCCATCTTGCCTCCCCACTGTATTTTTCTTTTTATTGCATGTCACTAATATGTATGGTACTTCTCTTGCTTATAGTCTGTCTCCCTTATTAAAATGTAAATTTCTCTTGAGGACAGGAATTTTTGTCATTGTCATTTGCTGCTGTACCCTCAATACCTAAAACCTTACATGGCACATAGTAGGTTGTCAATATTTATGGAATAAATGAATTCAGTAGCCCTATTCTAGGGCTCAAAGGATTATTTCCTGCCTAGTCCTAGGATTTGGCATTAATCTAGCCGATACTCTCCCTTTAAAGTATTCTAAGAGCTACAGGAATTAGGTTTGCAGAGCTCTTCTTGGCCTGTCTGTGAAGAGGAGAGGAAGTAGTTTTGAATCCAGGCAGCCCTGATAGCTACAGCTTGGCCCTCAGCCACCTGTCCCTGGCTGCTGTGCAGACCCGTCTCCCTGGCAGCCAGCTGTATTAATAAAGCCCACAGGAAGAGACTCTCAGTCTTAGCCTTCTAGACTCATTTTGTGTCTAACTATGAATCCTTTTGTCTGGCTCTTATGCTTTCCTTTTAAAGAATTAGACTGTCAGGGAAGTGTTAAACACAAAGGGTGCAGGGCCCTAAACTTTATGTAATGGAGTCATTTCAGAGCAGAAAACAGTGTGAAATGCTATATCCTCACCATTTCAATTGCTATTCTTTTCAGATTAATGCTGTAACAGGAGCACAATCAGAGGAGTCCTTTGCAGGAGACAGAAGTAAGGCAGCTGCCCACACCTCCCCTTGAGTTTCATTGTTAGATTCAAGAAGTAGAGTCACTCAAAGTTTAGGCCCCCTAGACAAAGCTTCAGGAGACCAGGCTAAGGCTACTCTATTGACACTGGGAGGTCCTTAGAGAATCCCTGGGGCCAGGAGAATGAGGAGAAGCCTGGACACCCTCCCTGAAGACACTTGCTCTGATGAGAGCGGGCTGCAGGAGCTGCCTTCTCCCTGCTGGTGCACGAGGCTCCTCATTGCCTCTCTTTATGGCACTCCCACATAGCTTAGCCCCCTCCTCCCCAGAATCAGACCTGAAGTGGTGCTGGAAAGACGTCCTTGGATCTGTGGGTCCTCTGGCAGAGTCCCTTTTCCTGACATACTCACTTCCCAAGCAACCAGGCGCCACATGGTTTGGTCTGTCCCTTTTCCCTAGCAGTAGCTTTCTCTTTGTAGTTTTCATATGTGAAAGCTCCACTGGGGCTGGTGCCCAGTGCTCTGGAGCTGGAAGCTCCCTGGGACGCCATTTCAAATCTATGAGGATCTAGACACTAAGCTCACCATCTGCAACAGTGTAATAATTATGAGCACAGGAAGGACTCACAGAGCTGGGTCTAAAGTGACCATTCGGAGAAGATGGTAAATCACAGAAAGTTGAAATCAGAGAGAATAATCCATGTAGATGCTAAAAAGATATAACACAGCCATGAAAAACTAGACAGAAACTTTAATGTTTGTTCAGAAAACATTCTTTGAAATATACCGACTGTCTTCAGGAGTCTGAGATGCAGGTTGTCCCTTAGATGTGGTGAATGTGCTGACAAGCCTATTTGTCTCATAGACTAAGCTGGAAATACCACCTCAAGGGCTTGGAGTTTCTCCATGGATAGCCTTTAGAAGCAAACACAGACTAAAATTGCCATTATATAGTGTATTGCTGCTGTGATGTAAAGCACTAGATGTGCTTGAATGAATAAGGACATTACAACAGAGAATTCTCAGCATTAATGGAGACATAGGCTTTCACAGTGACTTGCTATTCAGTCTCTCAATGATAATGGAAAATGCTGGCTTCCCTTGTTTATCCAGGGCTACATACTTATTTTTTATTTTTTTATTTTTTTTAGGGCTACACATTTAAATGCACCCTTATTCTCCTCCCAACCCTTTCTCTGATTCTAGCAAGGTGAGACTTTGGCAGTTGAGATTATCAGATTTTACAGCATTTCTTAAGGCACACTTAAGTGTAACAGTCTTAGAGTCCAATCAAACAAATGACTGGTTATTTGATTAAATACATACCAAATCGTATTACAGTGTACTAATAAAGATTTAACAGAGAAATTTTCACCCCGTTATATCTTATGTAGTACAAGCATTTTAAATTAGATAGCTGATAATTCTCTTATTTTAAATACACTCATTGATATTCCACAAATTGTATTTTTTATCTCAAAATATTTGTCTATAGAAATTTATTTACCTAGTCAAATCAATGCCTAATAAAATTTCCTCTGCAAAGTTGTCAAAGGAATAATGTTATTTCTTAGGCAAGAACTCAAGCACAAAGATAAAAAGATGTATCTGAGTATCTGATGTATTTTATTTGTTCACATTTATCCTATTTGAGGTTAACACTACTTCATTTGACAGTTTAAAAATCATTATGTAACAAAATAAAAAACAACTACAGCAATAGCTAAAATAAGGACACAACATATAATAAAATAAAGGAATGTGTTGAAAGGAATATTTCAAATCAGCGAAGGAAATGTGACCACACTTATGAATTCAACAATAAGAAGAAAAAATCTCTCAACATCTGTAAAAAACAAAACCATAATAGTAATAAAAAAAGAAGCAAGAATTTCAAAGTGCAGGTGCGCTAGTTTTCATTTCTACATCCATTTAGGAAATAGATAGAGCATACTATTCTGTTATATAAAGTGACAAGTTCTGTTTTAAAACATTCAGTTACATTATCTTGCAGATTTTTTTTTTCAGTTTACATGATCTCTACATTGATTTAATGGAAAGATGGTATATGTCATACATGGTATAATTTTTTGAATCTATGGAGAGTATGGAAATGATAAAGTTTATCATTTTTTCCCTTATTTGCAATGAGTAACGAGAAGCTGAAAATCCAATATCAGAAGCACTGGTACTTTTACTCTTTTAAAACAAAAACAAAACCAAAAACCCATCCTGAGCCCTCTATCACCTTTGCCACCACTCTCAGATTCTCTGTAACAAAAGACTGTTAATTTTCACTGAATTCTGGTCAGCTGAGATAAATAATCAGAACAATTCTTTTTAATGCAAAATTGGTCTGGTATCTGTCCAAACTGGTCAAATACAAGTGTTATTCTGATGTCATGTAAAAATCACTTATGCTTTCGTAACTGTTTAGAACCCCAGATGTTTTCCCCTTGAAACATCTATCAAATGATTTTTGAATAGAGGACTTTTAAGAAAAATACTTCAAATCTTAAAAAATATTTTTAAGACTTCCTAAAGTGGTGTAGGATTTACCCCAGCTGACAATGCCTGTCCTAGTTAAGAACAGTCTTGTATTTGTGCATTTCGTTTTCCTTAATTTTATTTAGAAAGCCTGAATACACAAATGACTGCTGCCTTATTTCGCATTATTTTTTAAACCACGTGTACAGCTCAACAGCAAGATTAATGTCATAATACATATATATCACTGACAGATTCATCTTTTTTTTTTTTTGGAATTCACTGAATAAACTGTATTTTGGTCAATCCCCCACCCCCGACAAGAGTGTACTGCACCTACATGGAGGTGTTCAAATATTTCTCCAACAGATTTCATTGTATTACATTATGAAAACACTAGGCTTCAAGCCAGGTACTAATAAATATTTAATTTAAAAGAAAGAAAGAAACCCCAACACAGAACATAAAAAAGTCCCTCCCCTCCCCCGCCCCTCCCCAGGGAAGGCGCCTGTATCAGCCCGACATGGCTGAGATTTCGTAGTCACTGGCCGAGGTGAGGGGCTTGCCCATCATGCGGATGTTTTTTGCACTGGTGATCCTGGCCATCATGCACACGGGCTTGTCAAAGTACTTGACCAGCGCTGGCTCGGTTAAGAGGGAGGCCAGGAACTGCTCGAAGGTGATGGCCCAGTCCCGGTCCAGGCTGGTGCTCCGGGGCAGCGCCTCCGTGCCCTGGCCGCTGCGCACCAGGACTGTGTCCTCCCCAATGTCCTCGCAGTGCAACTTGTCTTCCTCGTGGGAGCCAGCGCTCAGCACCGAGTACGAGGACATGGAGCTGTCGTCCTTGGTGTCGTCGTCGGAGATGAGCATGGAGGAGCAGGCCCCGTTGTCCCGGGGCGAGGAGTCCTCCAGCTTAATGTCCTCCATCTGTCCTCCGAGGGAG